TAAAGGTGCAAATTTCCAATGATGAATGTCATTATATTGTATACCTAAAATGTACCAATAAAATTAAATTTAAAAAAAGAGATGGGTCTAGATTCAACCTTCTCCATGTGGACAACCAGTTTTCCCAGCACTATTTGTCGAAGAAGCTCTCTTTTCTTCAGCCTCTATTTTTCTCCCCTTGTCAAAGATCAGATGTCTGAGTGTGCCTGGAATTGATTCTGCATCCTCTATTCTGTTCCTTTGACCCACATATCTATTTTTGTGTTGTACCATGCTGCTTTTATCACTGTAGCTTTGTAATACAGCTTGAGATCCAGGATTGTGATGGCTGCTGTTTTGCTCTTCTTCCCTAGGACTGCTTTTGCTGTTCTGGGTCTCTTCCTGTTCCAAATGAATTGTAGGATTGTTTTTCTACTTCGGTGTGGAATGATGTTGGTATTTTGATTGGATTTGCATTAAATGTATAAATTGGTTTTGATATATAGCCACTTTGACAATATTAGTTTTGTCTATCCTGGAACAAAGAATGCCTTTGCATTTTCTATTGTTCTATTCAATCTCCTTTTTCAGAGTACTATAATTTTCATTATAGAGGTCTTTCATTTTCCTGGTTAGGTTAATACTAATACTTTTGAAGCTAACATGAAGGTCTTGATTTATTTCTTAGTATATTCATTGTTTGTGTGGAGAAATGCTATTGAATTTTGTGTACTGATTTTGTATCCTGCTACTTTGCTGAATTTGTTTATTTGTTCTAGGGGCTTTTTGGTGGAATTTTTTGGGGTCTTCTATGTATAGGATCATGTCACCTGTGAATAAGAATAGTTCAGCTTATTCCTTTCCTAAAAACAAAAGGGATACTATTTATTAAGTTGAGAGATCTTGATTATAAAAATAACAGTATTTTAGTAATGTGCATGATAGCAAACAACAGGAACAAAACTTTAAGTAAAGCATATATTTTTAAAAGTAAGCATGAATTTAAGAACAAGTTTAGTTCTAGTGTAATCGCCCCTCAATATCTGACAAAGGCTGGTTCCATGAATCCCCACACATTCCAAAAATCTGCAGATGTTCAAGTCTACTCTATAAAATGGTGCAGTATTTCCATATAACCTATACACATCCTCTCATTTATTTAAATCATCACTAGATTATTTATAATAATATAATATAAATGTTCTATAAATAATTGTGATACTGAATTATTGAGGAAATAATGACAAGAAAAAGTCTATACAGGTTCACAACACATGCAATTTTTAAAAAATATTTCCCATTTGTGGGTGGTTGCATATGCAGATGAGGACCTCTCAGATATAGAGATCTAAGTGTATTCAGAAATTCATTATTAGGCCAAGCATGGTGGCACATGCCTATAATCCCAGCACTCAGAAGAGGCTAAGGCAGCAGGATCACTTCAAGTTAAAGGTCAGCCTGCGCTACATAATGAGTTTAAGGCCAACCTGAACTACATAGCAAGATCTTACCACAAAAAACAAAAACAAAAACAAAACAAAAAGAAAGAAATTCATTATTTTTTTAACTTACTAGGAAAACTAAAATTCAGCTTAGCATCATACCATGAATAAGAAATCTACAACTTTGTATGTGGATTTCTGGAAGGAAAAAGCTAGTCTTCCCATTGTATTTTCTAAAGTGCCATCTGTGGTTTGGAAAACAGCTTAAGGTATTTTTGATCTTTGCCCACTAAATAGCTTTTTAAGGAAATAAGACAGTAAGCAATATATTTGGAGGAAGTTATTCAAAGAGTAAAGAGAGGGAGAGAAGATTATATATCAAATGTTTTACCTTATGAGGCACGAGGACACCATCATGTTTCTTGTGATCATCTTTGGATTGTAATGCACGGTCCAAATGCGGGGGACAAACTGCATTCTCTCTAGTCTCTCCTCTTACATATTTAACATCATACAGAAAAGAAATATCCCTAAAAATAAGAAAAATACATATTTCAAAATAAATTTTCATTCTGGCTACTAAATAAGAGGGAGTGCGATCCACACATATCCTACTAGTGAATAAATTGGTCATTTATGTCAGCAAAACTGATCTCCTTACTGCATACTTCCTAAGAAGACTGGACTGTTAGACACAAGTTTCTCCAACATTCTTCCTCTATATGAAATCTCATTCACATCACAAACTCTTTTCTTCAATCTTAGGCTAAGAGAAATTCTCTTTTCCATGGTTATTCCTTCCACTTATCCACTTGATTCCATCCTTGCCTACATCCCTGAGTATTCTGGTGCATCAGTCATAACTTCTGTGTTTTTCCTACTCTATTGAAACATTCCTCTTGGTCTATAACCAGTCTTTTCCCCTTCTAAAAACTTTGCTTTACCATACGCTATCATTTCTTCATGATTGGCCTATCTATCTATCTATCTATCTATCTATCTATTTATCTATCATCTCTCAATTTCTGTTCATTAAACTTCCCTACAATCTGATTCCACCCACATCTCTATTCTGAAACCATTTTCCAGAAAGCTCATGATGATTTGCCACTGTAAAGTCAAATTATCTCTTATTAGTTATCTTCCACTACATTTCTCTGGTATATTTTCCAAAATTGACCACCTCTCTGCTTAAAAACTCTCTTCCTCTATTATCTGTGTTACTAGACACTCCTGGTTTTTTGTCCTAACTGCTCCATCTTAGACTTCCCTGTATCCTCCTGCTACTAAATGGAAATGCTCCACAAATGCACGTCCTCATACCTCCACTCTTTTTCCTGTACCTTTTCTCCCTTGGCAATGTCATCAAATCTCACCTTATCCCAAATGTTACTTCCAGGAACAACTGAGTCCTTCCATTCTATCATTTCCTCCTCTTGTATTCACTAATTCTATCAATTAGCACTATCCTTGCCTCATCTAAATCTCACTAGAATTATTGAGACTCTCCCATTTTAACCCTTTTGTAAACTTTTTTTATTACTATATATTTGTCATACACATTGATCACAATCATAACAAGGAATTTGTACCTATACATAATATATCTTGATTTTTCCCATTCCCCTCCCCTCCCTTCAACCTCTCTTCCCCTCTTTATTTGCAAAAGCTTTGTTACCGGTTTTTCCTTCTCTCTCCCTTCTCTTCTTCCCCTCTCTTCTTCCCCTTCCTATTTGAACATGTTCTTCCTACTTCCAAATATTTATTCATCATTATGCTCATTTACCTTTTGGGTTTTTTAAACATGAGACAAAGTATGACATTTAAACTTTTGTGTCTGATTTATTTCATTTAAGATTATGGTCTAAAGGTACATCCATTTTCCTACAAATGACTCAAGTTTATCCTTCTTTATGGCAGTGTAGTACTTCATTGTATACAAATGCCACATTTTCTCCATCCATTCATCTGTCATTGGGCATTTGGGCTGTTTCTAAGATTTAGCTATTATAAGTTGTGCTGCTATAAACATGGGTATGCATGTTTCACTGCAGTATGATGCTTTTAACTCTAGAAAGGGAACAACAGAGTCAAATGGGACTATTTTTAATTTTTTGAGGAATCTCCATACTGATTTCCATAGTGTTGTACCAGACTACACTCCCATCAGCAATGAAGAAGGGTTCCTTCTTTGCCACAGCCTCAACAGCATTTGTTATTGGTTGATTTCCTGATGATAGCCATTCTTTCTAGAGTGAGATGGAATCTCCTTTCTCAAATTACCAGTGATGTTGAGCATTTTTCATAATTTGTTTCTGTTTATACATCTTCAGCTGACAAGTGTCTATTGATTTCAGACGCTCATTTTTGGATTGGGCCTTTAAATTTGGGAGGGGGGGTCTGATTATTTTGAGTTCTGTATATATACTAGATGTTAGTCTTTTGCCTGAGGAAAACCTGGTAAGAATTTTTTCTACATTATGGGTTGTCTCTTCACACCATCGGTGGTTTCTCTTGTGCAAAAACTTTTTAATCTGATATGGTCCTAGTTGTTGATTCTTTGTAATATTTCCTGTGTATCTGAGGTTTTGTTCATAAAGTCTTTGCTTACACCTATGTCTTCAAGTCTTCCACTTATTCTCTCTTCTAGCAGATTTAGTGTTTCTGCTTTAATAGTTAGATTTTTGATCTATTTTTATTTTAGCTCAGTGCATGGTGAGAGATATGGGTCTAGTTTCAGTCTTTGGCATGTGGAGAGCCAGTTCTCCAGCACCATTTATTAAAGAGCGTATCTTTCTTCCAGTGAAGGTGTTTGGCCCCTTTGTCAAAGGTAAGATAGCTGAGTGTGCTCGGAAGATGCTTTCTGCATCTTCTGTTCTGTTCCATTGATCCTCGTATCTGTTTTTCTGCCAGTACCATACAGTTTTTATCACAATACTTTTGTAGTATAACTTCAAATTGGGGATTGTGATGCTTTCTGCCTTGCCCTTGTTGCCCAGAATTGCTTTTGCTATTCAAGGTCTCTTCTGATTCCAAATGAATTTTAGGATTGTTTTCTTTATTTATGTAAGGCATGTTATTGGCATTTTCATTGTGATTCTATTAAATCTATATATTGGTTTTGGAAGTATGACCATTTTTACTATATTAGTTCTGCCTATTCAAGAACAAGGGAGATCTTTCCATTTTCTGATATCCTCTTTGGTGTTTTTCAAAGTATTGTAGTTTTCAATATATGTCTTTTACTTCCTTCATTAGATTGATTCATAAGTATTTCATTTTTCTTGATGCTATTGTGAAAGATATTGTTTTCCTAATTTCTCTCTCAGTGAGGCTGTTATTCATATACAGGAATTCTACTGATTTTTGAGTGTTCATGTTGTATCCTGCTATGCTGCCAAATTTGCTTATTAATTCTAGGAGTCCTTTGGTGGAGTTTTTGAGGTCTTCTATGTAGAGTATCATGTCAGCAGCAAGTAATAATAACTTAATTTCTTCCTTTCCTATACGTATTCCTTTCATTTCTTTCTCTTGTCTAATTGCTCTGGTTAATGTTTACAGAACTATATCAAACAGGAATGGTGATAGTGGTCACCCTTATCTTGTTCCTGATTTTAGAGTGAAAGCTTTTAGGTTTTGCCAACTTAGTATGATGTTGGCTGTTGCTTTGTCATCCACGGCTTTTATCAAATTGAGATAAGGACTTTCTATTCCAATTTTCTGTACGGTTTTTATAATGAGTGTGTACTGGACATTGTCAAATGCTTTCTCTGCATCTATTGAGGTGATCATGGTTATGTCCTTCATTCTGTTAATGTGGTGTATTATATTTATTGATTTGCATATGTTGAATCATCCCTGCATCCCTGGGATGAATCCTACTTAGTCATGGTGTATAATCTTTTTGATAATTTGCTGCATTGTTTGCCAGTATCTTATTTTAGCATCTATGTTCATTAGGGAGATTAGCTTGTAGTTCATTTTTGGTTTGATCCTTCTCTGGTTTGGGTATCAGGGTAATGCTTGGTTCCAGGAATGAGTCTGGGAATATTGCTTCCCTCTCAGTTTCATTAGAGTTTGAGGCATAATTGCATTAGATCCTCTCTAAAGTTCTTGTAGAATTTAGCAGTGAATCCATCAAGACCTGGGCTTTTCCTTGTTGGTAGTTTTTAAAACTTACTTCTTCAATCTCACTGATTGATATTGGGTTATTTAGAATTTTTATATCTTCTTGATTCAGCTTTGGTAATTCATATGTGTCTGGGAGTCTGTCAATTTCTTCTGAGTTTTCTATCTTCTTAGAGTACATGTAGGTTCTCAAAGTAGGTATTGATGATCCTCTGTATTTCTGCAGGATCTGTTGTGATCTCACCCTTTTCATTCCTAATTGCATGGATCTGGGTTTTTCCTTTTTTGATAATGTTGACTAGGGGTTTGTCTACTTAATTTTTCAAAGAACCAACCCTTTGATTCATTAATTTTTTGTACTGTTTTCATAACCTCAATAGCATTAATTTCTGCTCTGATCTCTATAATTTCCTCTCTGTATGCACTAGGGGTTTAACTTGCTCTTCTTTTTCTACAACCTTGAGGTTGAACATTAGGCTATTTATTGGAGCTCACTGTTTTTTGATGTGGGAACTCACTGCTATAAATTTTCCTCATAGGACTTGCTTTCATTGAGTCCCATGTCATATTGACATTGTTTAACTGTAGAAACTGTCTGATTTCTTTATCTGTGGCCCATTGGTGTTCAGGAGGGTGTTATATCATTTCCATGCATTTATGTACTTTTTGTGATTTCTTATGCCACTGATTTCCAATTCATTGCACTATGATCTGATAATATGCATGGGATGATTTAAATTCCTTTGCATTTACTTAAGCATGTTCTATGAGCTGATATGTGGTCTAATTTGGAGAAAGCCCCATGTGTTGCTGACAGGAATGTGCATTCTGTTCTTGTTGGATAAACACTCCATAGACATCTACTACATCCATCTGTTCAAAGGTTTGTTCAGCTCTGATATTTCTTTGTTGATTTTTATAGGGTTTTTTTTAGTTGATTTATATTTGTGACAGTGGGGTATTGAGGTCCCCCATTACAACTGCATTAGTGCTTATCTGACTTTTCATATTTATTAGTATTTGTTTTAGGTAGTTGGGTGTGCCAGTATTTAGTCCATATATATTTGTGATTATCTCTTCCTCTTGGATTGTCCCCTTAGCAATTATGTGGTGACCTTCTTTGTCTCTTCTGATCAGTCTTGGATTGAAATCCATTTTGTCTGCTAATAGAATAGCTATCCTGGCTTTTGTCCAGGTTCCTGTCATATGGAGTACTGTTTTCCATCCTTTGACTTTCAGTCTATGAACTGCTTTTTTAGTTAAACATGTTTCTTGTATGCAGTATATTGTTGTACATTGCTTCTTTTTTTAATTTAATTTTATTGGAACATTTTAGGTATATGATATAATGACATTCATCAGTGGAAATTTGCACCTTTATGTACACTGTTTCTTGATCCAT